CTATTATCAATAAGACAAGAAGTAAGTGTTGGAGAAGATCTGGAGAAAAAGGAACCCTCACACACTGCTGATGGGAATTACAGCCACTATGGAAAACAGTATGAGCAATTCCTCAAAAATTTAAGACTAGAGTTACCATATGACCCAGCAATCTCTCTTCTGGATATCGACCCCAAAATTTTGAAAACATTAATTGAAGCATTATTCATGGTAGCCAAGACATGGAAACAACCTCAGAGTCCTTCAATGAGTGACTGGATAAAAAAGATGTGGTACACATATACAATGGAATATTACACAGTCATAAAAAGGGTGAAATCCTGCCATTTGCAACAACATGGATTAATTTTAAAAGTATCATGTTAAATACGTCAGATGGAAAAGAAAAAGAACCATATGATTTCACTCATATATGGGATATAAAACAGAAAGCAACAAATGAAGAAAAAAACAAACAAATTCACATAGACTTTGGGTGGTGAGCACACATGCAATATACAGATGATGTATTATAGAATTGTACACCTGAAACTTATGATGTTATTAACTGATGTCACCCCATTAACTTTAATTAAAAAAAAACTATATTTGGAGAAATAGCATCGACTTGATTTCTGGCTAGACAAAATCCTCCAAATAAAAAAGTATTGCATCCTTAAATGAATACCTCTTATGAGTTTATAAAGCATGTTATAGAGATCTTTAGATTACTAAAATAAATAATAATCCACAGAGTTGTCCATTTTGCTTTAATTTAATAAGTCCTAGTGCCTCACGACTTAATTCAGAAATGGTTTGATATTTATGGAATCTGGGGGAAGGTAGAGCTGGGTGAAGGCATACTATAAGGTGATACTCCACAGCTCTAGCACCAGATGAGTTTCACCCCAGCTCTGCTGTGACAGTGAACAAATAGTTAGATCTCGCTAAGCCTCAGTTTTTCCCATCATAAAATAGAGGCATGTTCCTTTTAAAGGTTTGTTGGAAAGGTTAAATAAGGTAACATGACCACATGGGGGCAGCCATCTTGTGCAAGGGTGTGATGGTCAATTTGCATATTACCTCTTTATTATATAGACTAGAGGCCTGGTGCACAAAAATTTGTGCACC